AAATCGAAGTTGGGCTGTTACATGGTAGTGTTGCCCTGTTTTAGAGATCAGTACAGCCCCTATTCCGACACCCTTCATATTAGCAGCTCCATCAAGCAGAGTTTCCAAGCGAATGAGAGAGAAAGTCAGAGGAAAAAACACGTTCTCTCTTTGCGAGATCCGAAAGTGGAGAACGCATAGCATTCTATGGGTACATAAGATCAAATGTAAAGCAGCGCTCTCTTGGCAGAGTTTTAGAGACAGGCTTATGACTAAACACTACCCGGAACAAAGCCCAATCGATTCAAATCGGTCAGTCGAACAAACAAAGACTATAGTTCGCGATCAAGTCGTTCGCTTCTATAGTGGTTCGGAATTCCATTTTGATCTGTAAAGTTCTTCAATTGATCCATCAAGGACCATTGTTCATAGGTTGGTTATAAGCCCGGAGATCGAGTCAGATTCTTCCCCTTTGAGTGGCATTCGATGCATCAACAATTTCATTGCCTTCCTTTCATTCTTGCGAACGTACTCCCCAGGCGGGATACTTCACAGAAGGAAGAGATAGAATCAAGCTTTTGTTTGTTATCAGGAGTGCAAGTTCCCAACATGCCGAGACAGCGACGGGTTCTCTGCCCCTGCGGGGATGGAGCGACAGAAGTTTTTTTGAGTTTTATACGGATACTGCCAAGAGATAGAGTCAAAATTGAACCAATACGTCCATTCCTACGCGAACTTATTTTTGGTATAGCTTTTGCCATATTTTATAGCGGGATACATATTGCCCAAATGGAACCTAAAAGATGGGATGAGTGATCCATAAGATCATTTGGCGAGGTTTCTTTATTCGGATTCTGCTTGAAACTAGTCCCGTCTTTGCAGCTTTTCTAAGAAGTTCCGTTCCTATCAATAGAAAGATCTCTTTCTTCTAGTCGTGCGTCCCCGGATTTTCATCACGGTCAACCTCATCAACAAACATGACCTCTTCACCAGGAAAATAAGTCTTCAATGGCTCATATTCATAATCCACCGGATTCTCGGCCAAGTGATCGGCCAAGGCTTGGGCTTTAATCGCGGTCCGAGTTACATAGATGATGTCAAACTCTGTAAGTAAAATCTGCCACTTCGCCAGTCTTCCCGTGGGCATAGGCTTCTGAAAGATATACTTTAGAGGATCCATGCGAGAAATGAGGTAAGTAGTGTCGGACGACAGATAATGCTTCAAATTTTGTGCCACCCAAGTCAGGGCGCACCATGTCCTCTCAAGCAGAGTGTACTTAGCCTCATAGGGAGTGAACTTCTTACTGAGATAATAGATTGCTTGCTCCTTCTTTCCCGTGATGTCATGTTGACCCAATACACAGCTGAAAGAATTATCCAAGATTGTCAAATAGAGAATTAAAGGTCTTCCAGGCTCTGGTGGGACCAGCACAGGTGGATTCTACAGGTACCTCTTAATCTTATCAAATGCTTCTTGACACTCGTCAGTCCACTTGACTGCAACATTCTTCTTCAGCAGCTTAAAGATGGGCTCACAGGTTGTCGTGAGCTGAGCAATGAACCTGCTGATGTAATTTAACCTTCCAAGTAAACTCATCACCTCTGTTTTGTTCTTTGGCGGCGGTAACTCTTGAATGGCTTTGATCTTCTACGGATCAAACTCAATACCGCGTCTACTGACCACGAATCCCAGTAGTTTCCCAGAGGGGACATCAAATGCACATTTCGCTGGATTGAGCTTGAGGTTGTACCTGCGGAGCCTTTGGAAAAACTTCCTCAAGTCCTTGACATGGTCAGACTGCTTCTTTGACTTTATGATCACATCATCTACATAAACCTCAATCTCCTTGTGTATCATGTCGTGAAATATGGTGGTCATCGCCCTCATATATGTTGCCCCAACATTCTTCAGACCAAATGGCATTACCCGGTAGCAATATGTCCCCCATGGCATGATGAACGCTGTCTTTTCTGCATCTTCCTCATCCATCAAGATTTGGTGATATCCCGCGTAACAATCCACAAAAGACCCAATCTCATGCTTGGCACAATTATCGATCAGAATGTGAATGTTCGGCAATGGAAAATCATCCTTCGGGCTTGCTTTGTTAAGATCATGGTAATCAACACAGACCCTGGTCTTACCATCCTTCTTCGGTACTGGCACAACATTGGCTAACCAAGTGGGATATCGAGTGACCCAAATGACCTTTGTAGTAAGTTGCTTTGTGATTTCTTCTTTGATATTCACACTCATATCAGTCTTGAACTTCCGCAACTTTTGCTTGACAGGAGGGAATGCTGGATCAGTTGGCAATTTATGAACTACCAGATCAGTGCTCAGGCCCGGCATATTGTCATACGACCATGCAAATACATCTTTCTACTCAAACAATATTTTGATTATTTCCTCCTCAACTTGCGGTTCTAAATGCGCACTTTTCTTGGTTTCCCTAACATTATCTTGGTCCCCTAAATTGATTGCTTCAGTTTCACTCAAGTTAGGCTTTAGTTTTTTTTCAAATTGTTTTAGCCCTTTGCAGTAAGCTGCTTTGTGATTTCTTCTTTGATATTCACACTCATCAGTCTTGAACTTCCGCAACTTTTGTTTGACAGGAGGGAATGCTGGATCAGTTGGCAATTTATGAACTACCAGATCAGTGCTCAGGCCCGGCATATCGTCATACGACCATGCAAAGACATCTTTGTACTCAAATAATGTTTTGATTATTTCCTCCTTAACTTGCGGTTCTAAATGCACACTTATCTTGGTTTCCCTAACATTATCTTGGTCCCCTAAATTGATTGCTTCAGTTTCACTCAAGTTAGGCTTTGGTTTTTCTTCAAATTGTTTTAGCTCTTTACTGATTTCCTCAAATGACGCTTCTTCATCATATTCTATTTCATCATCATATTCTACTTCTTGGATTGTCATTTCAGAATTAGATTGGCTTTTAAGACTCGGCTGAAAATTCTTCATGCATGTCATATCATTGCAACCAGCATAAAAAGAACTGTACAAAAGGAAAAAGAACAAAATAAAACACTATTAGGAATAACGGAAAACGGGAAATTGCATTTCATTGAAAATAAAAGGATAGAAGGGTTTGAACATCAAAACAAGCAAAGACTAAAAATCCGGATTACAACCTTGGAATAACCCAGATAACAGAAAGGAAAACAAAGCAGACTACCAAAACTCCTTCCTGGTGGGGGAGAGGAGTAGCTTCCCAATTGCTAAGCTTCACGTATGGGCCAACGAGCTGCACATCTGCTTTATTAGAGCCTTCACCAACTTCTACCATATTGACCTCATCGAACATACTTTGGAACCTCGTGATCAGCTCTTCATCAACATCGACCATAGGTTTTGGGGTTGAGGAGGTTGGAGGTTTTTCGGCCCCTAGCTTGACAAAATACTTAGAGATGTGTGGGACGGGCTTGGGGAGTGACCATACCTTCTGTTTCAGATTTTTTACCCTTTTCACGTCCTTCTCTATGGGCATAAATCCCAAACCAAATGTACCAGGATTCCCACTGGGGCGCATTGGATGCACAATACCCTGTAGAGATGAGCCCAGACCCTTGCTCGGCACAAAACCATTCTTCAACATTTCATTCGCAACCATGACGGTCGCGGAAGATAGCTTAGGACCCGAAATGCGTTTTCCTTCAGGAATCTTCTCAACAGACACTGTTTCGAAAGTTTGATAGACCCAAGGTCCTTTATCATCTTCAGCTTCAATAAATGGAACAGTTGTGTCATTACAAGCTGACAGGTCCTCATCACCGTGCACAACTATTTCCTGCCTGTCCCATTCGAACTTCACCATTTGGTGCAGAGAAGATGGGACTGCCTTAGCAGCATGTATCCAGGGCCTGCCCAACAACAGATTGTAGGAGACATCCACATCTAACACTTGGAATTCCATGGTGAACTCAACTGGCCCTATCGACAATTCGAGCATTATATCTCCAACAGAATCTTTACCTCCCCCATCAAAGCCTCGAACACACACACTGTTCAAGTGGACTCTTTCGATGCCAATCTTCAGTTTTTGCAGAGTAGACAAGGGACAAATATTCGCACTAGAGCCATTGTCAACCAAAACCCTTGAGACAATAGAATCTTCGCACTTCACCGTGAGATAAAGAGCTCGGTTGTGTTCTGTACCCTCTATAGGAAGTTCATCGTCCGAGAAAGTGATGCTATTTGCTTCGAAGATCTTGCCAGCTATCTTTTCCAAGAGGTTCACTGTGATCTTATCAGGAACATATGCCTCATTCAAAATCTTCATCAAGACCCTGCGATGTTCATCTGAATGTATCAGCAAAGACAAAAGAGAAATCTGACCTGGTGTTTTCCTTAACTGCTCCACAATGGAATAATCCTGCACTTTTATCTTTTTCAGGAACTCCTCAGCCTCTTCCTCTGTGATCGATTTCTTTACTGGCATTTGGCTATCCTTGAATGGCTTGGCTTTCCTTAATTCTTCTGGGGTGAAACATCTCCCGGAACGAGTCAATCCTCCAGTTTCATTAACTTCTTCCTCTATTTATTTTCCTTTGTATGTCACTGTCACTTGTTTATAATTCTAGGGAACAGCCTTGGCGTCAACCACTGGCAGCTGGGTTACTGGTTTAATGATGATGGGGTAATAGGAGCCCCCTTCACAACTATGACAAGCTTACTTGGAATCCCTGGTACTACCACTTTTGAATTTTTCGGACTTGGCCCAATATCTTTCGACAGCCCTTTCACAACCAACACTGGTGGTTTCGAATTGAGCGAGCTCGGCTTTTCTGTCACCCCATCAACTGTCAAGGGCGTTGCTTTGGTAGAGTCTAGAGCTTTAACCAAATTGCTTTCACTGGCCCGAATCATCATGACGGACTTAGAAGACTTCTTGGGCTCCCCATCCTTGTGAACTATTTCAATCATATGCGTCTCTGCATGGGCTGGCAAAGGGTTTTGGTTGATGTTTGGCGCGTCTGGGCTTTGGACTACAATTTGGTTTGTATCAATGAGCTCCTGGATTGCCCTTTCTCAAATGCCAGCACTTCTCTATGTCATGCCCTGGAGCGTCAGAACAATAGGCGCACCTTAAGGAATAATCGAGGTTCTTTAGAGGAGGATTTGGTATCTTTGACTCAATCGGCCTCAAGACGTCCAACTGCCTTAACCTTAGAAACAGACTAGCATAGGACTCTCCAAGTGGGGTAAAAGTTTGTTTCCGCTGCTGCCTCTCTCTTCTATACTCTAGCCTTGATCGAAAATTTGAACCATTGGGGTTTTGGTAAGGTTGTGGAGGTGGATATGCATTTTGTGGAGATGGATAGGTATTTTGTGGGACTGGGGCACGCCATTGTGGGTAAGGAGGGGGTTGAGCATATGATTGTGCATGGTGAACAAGGTATTGGGATGGCCTGGCTGAGTATTGGGGGTTTTGCGGGGAAAAGTAATGTTGGGGTGGATTATATGGAGCTTGGGCGTAGGTTTGAGGCCGGGGTCGAGGATGGTGTACTGATGAGGTGAACCCCTCCGGCCATGCCATGATCCGAAGACAACCATTGTGACATCTTCCTTCTTCTTCTTGCCTAGCAAACTTCCGGTACCACTCTGGATTGCCTGGGTAGTTGCTTTTATAGCAGAATAGCTCATGATCTTACTCGACTTGAGCCCTTCTTCCACCATTTCTCCCATCTTCACCACATCATTGAAAGACTTACCAATGGCTGAGATCAAGTGGCCATAGTAAGTGGGCTCCGGGGCTTGAAGAAAGTATTTAACCATCCCGTCTTCTTCCATCGGAGGATTGACCCGTGCAGCTTGATCCCTCCATCGGAACCCATATTCTCTAAAGCTTTCACTGGGTTTCTTTTCCACCTTGGTCAGAGATAGGCGGTCTGGAACAATGTCTATAGTGTACTGGAAGTGCCGGGCGAAGGCCTGAGCCATATCGTCCCAGGTGTACCACCTGCTGGCGTCCTGGAGGGTGTACCATTCTAAAGCTGCTCCACTCAGACTTTGGCTGAAGTATGCCATTAATAATTCGTCTTTTCCCCTGACGCCTCTCATTTTACTGCAATAACCCCTCAGATGAGCTACAGGATCCCCATGTCCGTCATATAAGTAAAACTTGGGCATCTTGAACCCGGAGGGCAGTTGGACATCGGGAAACAAACACAAATCCTTACAGGCCACACTCACCTGGTTTCCCAACCCTTGCATATTTCTCAATGATTGCTCCAGACTCTTTACCTTCCTGAACATCTCCTCTTGCTCTGCGTTCTTGGGTGGTTCGTCAGTTTCAACATGAGGCTCAAATTGGAGAGTGTAAGAGTAAGGCTCTGGGACTTTGAAGGTGGGCTCCGGTGCATAGTAGTGGGTATCTAGAGCGAAATGCGGGCTCACTAGAGGATCGGTGGAGGGTAGCTTGTGGAGGGGGTACAAAAATAGGAGCAGATGTCGGAGCAGGGTACGAGGTTGTTTTGGCTGGTGGAGCATGAAAAGCTTGGGCCGAAGTGCCGGGGTAGTTGTGGTAAGGGGTAAAGCCCGGTGCGTGTTGTGGGGAAAGATCAATGGTATTGGGCATCTGTGATTGAGAGAGTGGTGGAATGGAAGCAGGGTTTTCTGTGTAGTTGGTAGGGAACGAGGGTGGAGGGTGTCCCTTAATCCAGGCTTGGTACATTTCCGCCATCTGATGCTTCAACCTCCGGACCTCCTCTTGCAGTTCCGATTCCGACTCAACAATCTCCCTTGGTGGATCTACAACTCCAGTCTCTGTTTCCTTGCTAGCCATGACTGTTTGACGCTTTGATCGGGTGTTGTATGGATGACTTGCCAGGATGCCAACAAACTAACCACCTTCCTGGAAATTGAATAAAAATAATAGAGGACAACAACACAAAGCCACCATGTTAGCGTTAGGGCATTTATCAAATAATAATATCACATTATGTGCAATGCACCTAGCAACAATTAACGGTTCTAAAGTGGCTTTGAGGGTCGCAGGGTTATATGGCATCATCCCAATTTGTTCATTTCAATCCTTCCTTCTCTTTCTTTTCCGACGCCTTTTATCACCCTTTTCTCTTTTTCTTTCTCTTTTTATTTTGAAACAAAAATGGTTTGATCGAACCCGATGTAGGTTGCCTACGTATCATGTCCCTCATGAATCAGACCAAGTGTAGTTCTGGAAAAGTGATGGAAAATAAACTAAAAATAAAATCTTTTTGGGATTTTTCATTTAAAAACTTTTCGATATTAAAATACAATAGGAAGTACGATAATGAAAGACCTGACAAACTCAGCTACACTATGACAGATGATAAGTTAGGATTTTAACGTGTTTATACCCCTACTTGCCTACGCTTTTGTTATACAATGCTACAAAATAGTCCCAAAACACTCACAAGTTGTACTTGATTGCAGGTTTGATCGACAAAGCGACAAAAGTAAAATATCGGCTCAGAAAGGAGTGAAACCTGCTCAAGTGTCAAAGACCAAGGAAGTTGAGGAAAAGAGGCCCTAGTGCGGACCGCGCAACTGTGAACGCGGCCGTACTAGGAGGTTCAGAGAATGGCAATATTCAAAGGGAGGCTACGCGGCCGCGTTCATTTTTATGCGGTCCGCGGTCAGGCTCCACGGCCGCGCTACACTTTTACGCGGTCCGCGGAGTAGAGATTCAGAGAGCCTAATTTTGACCCTTTCCAAGCAATGCGGCCCGCGCTCATTTCTGTGCGGCCGCGCTAACTTTCACCGTGGCCGCGCTACATTATTACGCGTTCCGCGGTCCGTGGTCCTCGACTTCAGAGAAGCAGAAACAAAGAGTTCAAGAGCCAGTGCCGCCGCGGTCATGTTTGCGCGGTCCGCGCTGACCCTGCAGGGGTATTTTTGTCCAATTTTTTCAGCCCAGTATAAATAGACCCTTTTTCCATTTTAGGTTAAGTTTTGTTTTTTTGAAGCTGTGGAGCTCGTGAGAACGACTAGTTTAGCCATTTTTGGCATTTTTACTCTTCAATATTGTATTTTCCTCTTAGCAATCAATTTATATGTTTACTTCTTCATCTATTTTTTTAATTTTGCATCTAGCATGAGTATCTAAATTCACTAGCTAGGGTTGTGGCTCAACCCTAGTGTGGGTAATTGATGGGTGTTTCCATCTAGGGTTAGATGAATATTGAGTGTTTGCTATTTGGGTTAATTTTAGGTTTTAATTAAGGATTGGTGGTTGCAAACACTGATTCTAGCTTGGTGGGTTTAAACTCTTCTTGAGAAAGAGAGTCTATTGTCACACCTCCTTTTTTATACACTCCGAGGAGATAGGAAAGAAAGGAGTTTTTCCAATTTAAGTGACATTAATCGAAATGGGATTATTTATTTATTTCAGAGTCGCCACTTGAGATAATTTATGGTGTTCCAAGTCACTGATTTATTTTAAATCCCAAATCGAGGACATTTGACTCTGTTTAAAGTCCGCGAAACCAGAAAAACCGAGAAAGGAATTCTGTTAACCTGGGAGAAGGTGTTAGGCATTCCCGGGTTCCGTAGTTTTAGCACGGTCGCTTTAATCATATCTGGCTTAATTAATCATTTTAATTACTTATTTTTAAACCTGTGTGCATTTACCCCTTTAAACGCTTTTAATTGCTTGATTATTCATGATTGTAGAATTATCTTGAAACGAGTCACGCGTACGTGTACTCTTTTCATTTGGCGCGTAAAAAATAATGTCACGCGTACGTGTACACAATTAATAACACTTTATTATTACTAAAATTGTTTGGCCAAGATCATGCGAACGTGTACCTTGGTTTTAAGTTTAAAAATCGTAATTATGTCACACGAACGTGTACATAATTACGATAATTTACTTATTATTACGCGCCTAAAGCATACAAGCGAGCGAAGTAATAATATGACTGTGTCTCTACCATATATGATATGACGTACTTTTCACGATCTAACAAGCATGAGAACTTGTAATTACTAACACTAACGAAGGAAATAAAAAGAGTATTTTTAGTATTTTTCTTAGTAGAATGAGCGGATGCCAAGTTTGTTTACTTCCTCTTTTTCTCTTCATTTTAGATAAAAGCTACAGAACAAATGTCCACAAGCAAGAAACAATTAACACATAAAAACAAGTATGACACAGTTCAGCAGACAAATCATGCACGTCCTTATTTTTCCAAACAAAGAATGTAAAGTTTAAAAATAGAAGTAAAAGAATGTACCTCATCTTTTCAAATAAATGTCAACTCTAATAACAATAACTTCACTAGCAGACACAAAATCTCAATCCATGCCAAAAATAGCAGTAGCGTTTACGAAGCAGAGAAGGCAAATGGCTTAACATTGACTTCGACCTCCAAACAAAAAGATTACAACTTGACTCGCCGGAGACTCGACCTCGACAGACCCTCCCACTCGTACAACAATACCTCGTCATTGATGGTTTTCGGATTGATTTCAGGTGTTGAAACAGTCATTTGCAGCTGATTTTGCTGCTGGTTCGGCGGCTAATTTATGCGAGAAAGAAGCTGGTTTCGTCCAAGTTTGCAAGGCAGTGCTTTCAAGGTGGTTTGGAGATTTCATGGCTGCATTTTTGTGGTGAAAATGTGGCTGTTTCGAGGTTGTTTGGCTGATCTTCGAGCTTGGATGATGGGTGTGGCTGTCGTCTCTTTTTTTGTGAGAGAGAGATGAGAGCCGCTGGTTCCCTTTCTCTTAATTGTCTGGCCGCTGCTGCCTCTCTCCGTTGAAAGAGATGAGCGTACCGTAACCCCCCCCCCCCCCCCCCGTTTTTTTTTTTTAACTTTTTAAGAAAAAATCTAATCGTAAAAGATCCTAACGAAGAACATATTTATGAACTTTGAATTCTCTATCTCTTTTTTTTTATTTAAAATTTTCAGAAAAAAAAATAAGACTTCTAAACAAGAAAGAAAATATTTTTGGATTTCCATAATTTTGTAATTTCGAAAGAAAGAAATATTTTTTGAATTTTTTTTATTTCTTTTTGAATTTTAAATTTTTGGGAGAAAGACTTCTAAAAAAAGTGGAAAAATATTTTTTGAATTTGACGTCTTAAAGAAAGACTTCTAAAGAAGGAACTAAAGGAGAATATTTTTTGGATTTTTAAAAATTGGGGGCCGGACCCGATGAAGGTTGCCTATGTATCTCACATCCAGTGAGAATCAGACCCGCGTAGTTCGGTTAAAATAACTAAAAAAAATTATTTTGAAGATTGTAATTTTACACACCAAAACCCTTATTAAAAAAAGGGTATTTTATGAGAACTTGGGGGAAATTTCTCTTTCTCTCTCCTCTGTTCAATCAATCTATCCTAAACCCGGTCAACATTTGAGTGAAACCTACCAAATAATGTTACATATAGCACATAAAGATGAATATGTTGGTCCGAAAAATTGGTACATGTCCTAGATGGGCCCGACCCCAGTGCCGAGCCCCGCTAAGTCCAATGCACATGATGTAAATAAAGCGTAGCTTACTAGGGATATTCATTGCTTGTGGCTTGTTCTTCTAGGTTTTCAAATCCTAAAGGAGATGGTATCTAGACCTGGCTTACCCGGGTGGACAACCCGAGCTGAGGAGCGTCAAGTGTCACCAGTAGTAGAAGAACACTGGCTAGCTAACGGCTCTCCCGCCTAAACATGTGTGACTAAATCCTTCACCAGAAGCTGGTAGGCTAACTGGCTTTATCTCAAGACAGAAATTTTTGTGATGCTGGTAGGCAAACACAACATACTACCTATCAGAAGACTCAGAGGGGTGCGAGAGAGGATACAGTTTATATCACAGTTCAAATAAATATTAAAGCGGTAAATAAGCGACAAAAAGCACATTAGGCTTCCAAACACAATAATATCCAAAACATGATAAAAGCCAAACAAGAATCAATATACAAAGCTCGAATTCTTATTAATTATTCCCCAGCAGAGTCGCCATAGCTGTCACACCTCTTTTTTCCGCAACCCTTTTACGAGGTTGAGTTAGAAGAGTTTTTCCAATTAAAGTGACGTTTTGAAAAGAGATTATTTACTATTTAGAGTCGCCACTTGGAATTGAGTTCTGGTGTTCCAAGTCACCTTTTATTGAATCCCTTATCAATAGGAAGATTCGACTCCTAATTTATGATTTACGAAAACAGAAGACTGAGTAAGGAATTCTGTTGACCGAGGGGAAGGTGTAAGGCACCCCTCGAGCCCCGTGGTTCTAGCACGGTCGCTTTATTGACTAATGTAAGGCTTCAATCAATTTTTGGCTATTCTTGTATTTTATCTTGTCTATTACCACTTCACTTGATCTTTATATTTTTCTTAATTATTCTGACCTAAATGCGGTACGCACACAAGGTATTCTTCTTTGAAGTTGGATGTTAAACCAAGGTACGAAATGTACACATGATTATTTTAAAATCAAAAGTACCAAGGCGCGGGAATGCGCACATAATCCTTTTCTTGTTTAGGACTATTAATCCAAGGTTCGGGTATGAACACATGGGCTAATAGCATATTTAGAATATTTAATTACTTTGTTTCTATTAGGTTCGAGATATTTACCTGTACTATTATTATTATTATTACTATTTACCTATTACAACAAATGTATCTTGGCCTAGTTAGTACATTCCCAGTAAATCCTACTTTTAACATATGTAAAGATATCCTAGTTTGGACAGAAATATTTAAATATAGCATTGATAAAGAATACAGAAGGCTAAAGCTAGAAAAGAATTATTTGCATTATACCAATTGAAACATTTGTGATAGAAACTAAATC